ATATATATATATAATAGTGTTGCGATATTTTTACTTAATAATATAAATACGAATTATATTTACGAATTGGTCTTTTTATGGAGCTTCTCACTATTGTACTGATACATTTCGCTTTAGCTATATAATTATAATACAAGTATTAGAAAGAACAATTTTTGCCTTTGCGGATATAATCGTGTGAGCTGAAGACGAGATCATATCGTTAAATTGTTATTTTTTAAAAAATTATTATTGATTTTTCAATTTTTAATAATTCTTAATTTTTTTTCAGTTTAATCAGTTTTTCCCGTTTAATCAGTCTCTGTTTCTTTTATTTGTTTTCATTGTTTTGTTTTTATTTTATTTTATGACTTCTTTATGCGTATGGTCAGTTCATTAAACTTAATCTACTTTTTCTTTTATTTCATTATTTATTTTCTCTCATGAGAAAAGTCTTCTTAACTTCTCTTGCTTTTTACTAAAATCATTGTTCATTATTTCAGTAATTTAATTTTAGTTTATTTATTCTTATTGTCGAAGTAACGAAAAAAGGGTGCAAGAACCTTGCATTGTCTGAAGGTAGGTTGAAAACTACGACAAAAACTAAGAAATCTTTTAATCACTTTATTACCAAATTTAGGAAAATATTTTTTTATTTAAGAAAATATCGATTTTGAGAAAAAAATCTAATTTAAAGGGAAAAAAAATGAAGTTTCCACTGCTACAGCTGTTCATAGATTAGAACTTTCCATCTCCCTCAGAAAAGTTTTAACGATTAAAATGATTGTGAGTTCCCACAAGCTCTCCCCTCCCCCACATTATTTTCAGTCAAATATTTTGAGAGAGGCTCAAAACTGAAACCTGAAGAAAATAATTTCAAATTTGAAGGGGGGAAAAAAACGCAGAAAAAAATCCCTCGCTGTCATTTTTTTTATGGTTTTGATACTTTCCTTTTTAGTGCTTTGAAATGTTTAAACTTTTTTTTAAACAATTTTGGTCCTGACTAACTACTTCTCCTTCCTAACTGTGGTATGAAGGATCATTTTTCTCCTGAATAAGTTTCGTCTTTTACTATCTGCTGATTCTCAACCTTTTTTTTCCGCGGCACTTTTCGAAATCCGCTTTTTTTTCAGCGGAATACCCGCTCCGTCAAATTTCGAAATATGACGGCGGCACAAAAAGAAAAAAATGAGTTATTAAGATTATTTACCTATAATACGCTGTGTAAAACAGTTTATGGTAATAGTTTGGAAATGTAAAATAAAATAAAAATAACTACTACAAAAACAACAGTACGTTTATCAAGGGATTAATCAATAATTAGAATACTCATAATGATAAATTTGAGCTTGACGTTTTTTTTTTTTTGATAATTTGTTTTTATAACTATTAATTGCACAGCTTATTATAATTCTTAGCTTTTATTTCCTTTTGTTTGTGAATACTTAGAATTAATAATTTTTATAGTCACTAAATTTCCTACTTACTTAAACATTTTAAGATTGTCAGATCGCCGACAAAGATGTTCACACCATTAAAGTATAATCTAATATAAAGTTAAATATAATATAAAGTTAATATAAAGTAAAGTTAAAATTATATAAAGTTAAATCTAAATATACATATATATGTACATTTAGATTTAAATATTTTATTATATTTCATGCAATGACTCACGATTTTTTACATTTTATTTAATGACACCCATCAGCATGAATTTTCAGCATTTTTTTTTTTTTTTTTTGCGAAAATGTTTTATCAGATATTTTAAGTAAAATTAAAATGCATAATATTTTTATATATATTTTTCTTTAATTTAAATTTTACTCGTAGTAGATTTATATTTTTTACTTCATTATCTCTAAGATTTGGCGACATACTTTAAGAATTTGGCGGGGCACACAAAAGTGCCGCGGCACAGAGAATCACTGCTTTTAGATAGGTAGAAAATGGAGTGCGGTTCTGCAAGACGATTTCTTCCTGCAGAAGGGGTCGGTAGTTCGGAATCTTTGCTGTTTTTACCTCTACAGTTCTGATGGGAGAATGGGTTTTATATTCTGATTTAGGAGACCATTTTATCTAATATTCATCTGGAGTAGTAAACAGCAGTGATTTATAGGTTGATACCATAAGAGGATCCACCATTAATGATTTCTCGCCATATTTTAGACAGAGAGAAAATTTTCACGAATTAGCATCTATATAAACTCAGATAAAGTATCATCATGTAAGAGATTAAAATGCTCAGCAAATCAAAAAATAATTTAAGGAATTGGTGTGACTGTGTATTCAGTCCCCATGAAAAATGGGAACACTTTTAATTGCAATTGTTCCAAAAATCAGAAATTCCATTCACAAAAAGAATTATTTTTTTTCTTTCCACCTATCATATTCTGATTTGGGAGGAAAAAAAATTTTTTTTTGAGAAGAAATATAAAAAATCTTACCTCTAAAAGAATTGAGTTTCTTGGAAGGAAGAAGGGTTCTTTACAATCTGTTGAGCCTTCGGTACTCCTACTTTTATATACAGCATCATTTACCAGCTGTATTTGCCGCCCACGCGTTTTCGATCGATCCCTTACTTCCGCGCATGCCCCACCCCTCGGTTGACATTTCCCTCCACAAGGATCGGCGGTCATTTTCCCACTTTTTGCCATTTCCAGTTCAATCCTCTTCATTCGCGAGAAAATATTTTGTTTACAATCCCTCTTTATAGTTTCATATTTTATTGCCAATAAAATGAATGGCGAGGATACACAAAAATCGAGGATAATTCGAAAAAAACAAACAAACTCGAAAGTGTGAACGGGAAAAATAATTTTAAAATACGAGTGTGAGTCGTGGGATAGTTCAGGGAATAAAGCGTTCGAATGAGGTGAACCGGATTCGAACCCCATGGATGGCGGTTCGATACGAATAATCTCTCCGTATAACACGAATGCGGGTTTGTTCCATCCATAAGTCCTCCACGAAGGCACATTTCTCTCAATACTTGATCCAGGAGTTCCCTTGTCTTCTGGATTGGGTTCATAATGACAAGGCTACGGAGTAGAACATGAGTGGTCGTAAACCCAAAAATTGGGTCGGCTGTTCATCGACGGTTATAAAATAAAATAAATTACACGCGTATATATTTAACAGAAATCTTTCTTCCACGTCACTGAATATCAATAAAAAAAAGACATACATCATAATAGTTCTATTTGATCTCCTTGCAGAATCGCTTAAGATAAAAGGTGTCCGTAACAACCACCCTTAATCATATAAATCTTTAGAACACCCAATTCGCATTAAATGAACACAAAAAGAGGATTCTCTCAACAAATTTTGATCAAAATAATCAAATTTTCTCGCGCTCAATCTTTCAGTTTCGGGCCATATTATGAGACACACTCTAAGATTCTATGTAAAATTATAATCATCAGATGATACTCTATACAGCTTTATTGTTTTTAAGCGGTTTGCATTTGCTTACGCTCCTGTATCAATTGTCATGCAATACGTTAAAAATAAATACAAATAGGAAGTATATAAAAAATTTCCCGAATAAAAACCCAATACATGTATGTTTAAAAGTATTGCCTATAAACTCGTGCAAAACATGTAATTACTAAAACACTACAGAGCGTTTAATAGTTCGGTTTAATTATTATAATATACTAATATAATGCTAGATATAATAAATATTATAAACACGAACGTAAACAAGTGCAAACCNGACAGAATATAAATATCTTGTTTATGTTCGAAGTTATGAATTCTTGAAGTTGTAAAGATAATTTTGGAACACCCTGTATATCGTCTAATTTATCCTATCATCAAATTTATATTATATATCGTCGCATTTAATCCATTGATACAGGAACGTAAACAAGTGCAAACCGCGTAAAAATAATAAAGCTGTAGAGTATCACTTGATAATTAAGACTTTACATAGAATCTTATAGGGCGTCTCATAATATGGTCAGAGACTGTAAAGTGTCTAACCTTATGAAATACCATCTACCGAGCGCAGATTTATATATTTCAAGTTGCAGACTGAGTATTTCAAGTTTAAAAGTCAAGAGGGGTCATTTTGATCCATTTTGACTTTTTTGTTTCATTTCGAATTTTATGTCTCCTTAAATACAAAAAGAATGTCTTTAAAATGTAAGGTACTTTCTTTTTTTTTTTACTCTTTAAGAAAAAATAATTATAAAGTTACCTATTTAGGTTCTTAAAAGAGTGGTCAGAATGATCGTAACTGCATAATAGGATCCAAAACGTGACACCGTTTTTGACCATAACATAAAAAGTGAAGGAAAGAATTTTTGCCCATTGTGGGGTGATGAGCAAAATAATAGTGAGGTCATCATTACTTCTCAGACAGGCCCACCATTCTAAAGCTGGTTCATTCTCCAATGCTTCATAATTACAGCTCAATTCGGAAGTAATTAGGAGGATATTATGGTTTGGGCTCCAGTTTGGAAAACTGAAGTTTGCCCCCCCCCCCCAGAAGGGATTCTTAGTTTGGGGAGAAGGGACAAAATGGGAAAAATATCAAGAGAATCTATGATTCAGAAGTTGAAATATTTAAGAAGCGTGAAGAAATAATTTATTTATTCTATCGATATACACAAATTCTTATAATGCCTTTTTTTTTCCTTAACACAGAACCAAATGAAATCAAAGTAATAACCTAACACAATCAAACTCCGACCCATCATTCCTGCAATTCTTTGTTCTCTTTTAAAGGTTTCGTCACAAATTGCTATTTTAATAAGATTAAGAATACCCGTTTAAACTGGTTCATAAATTAAAGAAATCATAATGCATGCTGAAATGTGTAGTACGGGTTCAAGAAATGGTTCCAGGTTCTAACCAGCAGGGTCTGAGGTTAAGAAAAACAGTCGCGCGTTCGGAGCGCCGAACGAGACCTAAATTTAATGTTCCCGAAATTTACATTTCTCCCTTTTGAAAAATAAAATATATCTATATATACAGGGGTGATTGTGGGCCCCAACTCAAAAATCCTGAAAATTTCTTGAGTAAAATCATTCAAAAAATTAATGTCTTTATAAATTTAAATCATTGAAATTTTCAAAACATGATATTCTAAATGAATTATATGCACCATAATTATGTATAAGTTTACTTTTATCTCTAATCACATTTATTATTCTACCAGAAAATATATTTACAAATGAAAGCGATGCCAAGTATAAATTTCTAGTTCTAATATTTTTAAATAAAATATGCGAGACTTTTTATTTATATTTTTATCGATGATTTCTTGAAACTTCTGGACTTTGGATTTCCGGAAACTTTCGAATCGCGGTGAGCGAAAAATCCGGATTTTTTTCCGGAACACAATCACCCCCGTTATATGTAATGGCCCATGCTCGAATCTCACCGTCGGCTGGTCGATATTCCATGCACAATCCTGACATAAATATCCTCAGGGGGGTTAAAATCCCCTTGTCAATGGACTAACCGTGATAAGTTCTCGTGGTTTTCCTCTCCACCTCACTCCAATACGGGCTAGTTCCATGAGTCAGATTGCCTTTAAATAGCCAGTACAGAATGCAGTCAGTAGACTTTTCACCCTGTTTGAAAGCATATCCATACAAATGAAATATTGGATAGTTGCATCCATAGATATCAGATTTTAGTAACGTAACAACAGAATCATGGAAAGCTTTTAATAATCCAACAAATGAAGGACAATGTTTTAACCCAAAACCTATACATTTGCTTTCTCTGTGTACTCTTATTGAACGTTTCAACAAAAAATTACGGAGTATTAGTCAGATTCTTCTAAATATTTAAAAACGCAATTTTTGAAATAGGGGTCCACCCAAAACCGTCTTTAACGCATGGGCACATCCGAGCCCGACTTAGTCTAATGGGGGCCCTGGAGCAAAAACTTCAGTAATGTAGAACTGAACTTTATGGAGATATTTAAATTATCACCTCATCATACTTATATAGCAAGAAAATGGACTAAAATCTTCAAAAACCTATTATGTCCCCCCTCCCCTCCAATGGTCAGGCGAAATATCGTTCTGTCCATTTTATTGATTTTCTGAAAATTCTATGACCCTCATGCAGTTTTCTAATGGTTAACTTTGTCATCGAGCTGCAAATAATTAATATTCTATTAGGAATTGAATTCAGCTTTTTGCAATGACGATGGCTCAATTGAGCCAATCAGAAGCCTATATTTTGGTAAACATATCCCATGTCACGATATGTAAAAATACAGTCTTTTGATTGGCCAAATGTGTCCATCGTCATTGCGAAATTTACCTAAATTACGAACTAGAAAGCCATGGATTTACGAAAAAAAGATTTTTTTTATTCATACGATAGATTAATGAAGAAGCCAACATAAAACTGGCGGCTCTTAAAACTGTACTAATATTTTGTTTAAAAAAAGTTCATTCAAGAAGGAAACCTAAAATAAACTGTATATTCGATTTGGGGCCCGGGGGAAGTGCCTCGTATGCCCATGCCTTAGTCAGGCTCTGCCCGGGCCCCTTGTACATCTCACTTTTTAGAAATTGTATTAAAAAAACTAAGAGCAAACGTTGCATTATTTATATTTTTCAAAATAAATATATTCTCGAGTGAAAATTGTGCATTTTGTTTTTCTATAAATCATCATCATAGTTGGCCCGATAGCCCAATGCCTTCCTCTGAAGATTTCTCCACTACGACTTCTGATTTAAATCGGGATTGATTATAATTCGAACACCCATAATTTGAATAGTTTATCACCAGGAAAACTAAAAAAGTCAACCGATTTTTTTTTCTATGCTAAAATGATGTTTCTTAGGAATTCAACTAATTTCTCTAAACATGTTTGACCACCACCCACTCCGTTTAGTAATTAATTAAATGAAGTGTAATAATTGAAAGAGTTTAGAATGACATACGGGAACACTTTTATACTGGTTATGTCTGATGGGCATTGAAAGATGTCTTACTAATTGACTTTAATAGTGTGACGAAATAATTCATTTTTTTATTTGTTATACCCTTACATTTTTATTTTATCTAGCTGCTTGGTTTTGAAAATTATTTTAATATTTGCAGATTGCAACTGGTCAGCGTCTTAATTTTTTTTAAAAAAAAATTATGCATAGTTAAAAAATCCTTCATTTTATCTGCATTGAGTTTTTGGGATGATAAAAATAGGTGTAAGTTTATTAAAATTATTGCATATCTTAAAAATGCTTTATTTTATGTATGTGAAGTTTTTTTAGTTCCATTTTAAACAGCATAACATGTTTATAGGGGTCCAAAACAAGTTATAAAAAATTTTTAAAAATTTATATATAATTTTACAAAATTTCATAATGATCACTTTTATGTAAGCAGTATTTTAAAAAAACCATTTAATGATTTTTTTTAAAAAGTGCTACAAATGTTTATTTATGTTTTTGTTTTCAGATCAAGCTTCATGAATTCAATGAAACAAATACACAGTATTAAGTTTTTAGATTTTAATCGTAGTTAATAATAAAAAAATTTCCATTATTTTTTACAATTATGTAAGATGTACACTTGATGTTCTGGATTTGAATAAGAACAAAACGAAAACTATTATTTTAACTATTTCTTTATTATATTTCAATTTTGAACTACATTTTCAGCAAGCTGTATACCTTCATTAAATTCAAACAAAAACTTAGTTTGTCATTTAATGCAATATAAAAGTTACAAACAAAAAAAAGAAGAAAAAAATATTTTAAAGATGAACTAATCAGATAAATCAGAACCTATTGAAAAATCATGATGAAAATATAAATAGCTTTCATTGAAAGACTCAATTAGTTTTTAATTATTCAAGAATTTTATTTTACCTATTTTTAAATTAGTACTTTGTTTTCATACTATTGAGAAGAAACATGTTTAAGCTCAGAAGGTTGTGGGAAATAGTAGTTATCGACAATGGTATGTTCCCATCACGTCCAGGTCACCAATGTGGGGAGATTTGTCATCGACAATGTCAACCTTCATCTACGAGAAGGTATCTCCCACATAGAATCGAGCTAACATGTCTCATATACTGATGAATTGGAATTTTGTAGTCGTAGATACACTTACAAGGTATTTCCAACCTTGGTGCGAAATCAAGTGCTTAAATTAAATTTGACGCATAGTTTAGCAAATATCAAAATAATAGTCAATTCATCTATAAAATTAACAACCTGATTTATAAAAAAAAACACACAGAAAAAGAGTACTGTGATTCTAATTTCTAAACACAAATATGTTATATGAAGACCATATGTTATATCCGTAGCCAAATCTTTCAACAAAAATTACGCACCTTTTAAGTACTTTTTAAGCACTCAAAAAATATTTTTAAGCACTATATATATAAAAAAAAATGCGAAATAATTTTCTAAGACTCTACATGATCATGATAAAATAACTAGTTTCTGACAAAGAACTTTTTTCTTCATTATATTCAAGATATTTTTCGGTTTGATTTCAGAGGTTGGAAATGAGAGTGCTTGAATCGTATCGAACCCAGCTCAGTAGACGTACATGCGAACTGAACATTGAATAGAATGTGAAAAGCACGCTTTTGCATAATATGTGGTGAAAATCGACTTGGTAAAGAAAAAATCTCATTTTCGAAAAGGGAAAATTATGCACTTTCCAAAAACATGAAGCACCTTTAAGGGCTTTTAAAAAACGATAACCGAAAATAAGCACCTTTAAGCACTTTTTAAAAACGCTACGCACCATGGAAGAAATATATACGAAGAAAAAAAATATCTTACTCAAGATGCGAAGAAGTAAAATAGTGTGCGTAAAAATCTTTCTGCAATTCCATAATTGGAACAAATAGAAATCATGCCAAAAATACTTTTTTGTATTTACTTATTTTTCAAGGGAGAACAAACAAAGGGGTGACATCTGTAAAAAAAAAAAAAATTCCCTGTGTTTTCCCTGCACACTTATTATGAGGCATTCACAGTGTGCTATACTAGGATGCTAGTTCTAGTTGCTGGATATAAGGAACAGCTCAACAGAACAAAAGAAATAATGCTATAACAAATTTGATATAGCTGAACTATCATTTTCATATATCCCGCAGATTACACTTTCCCTGCTTATTTTCCCTGTTTGAAAGGAAAAATTCTAAAATTTTCTGTTATTTTAGACGATTCCCTGTTGGGTGGCAACCCTGAAACATTTATCACAGAGTATAGTGAGTCAAAAAGGAGACAAATAATAACTGAGGCCAAATAACTTTTGATCTAATGTTCCAGTGACTTAAATACAATGATTTGAAGGATCTGTCAATTAAGTGTTAAGTAGGAATTGAATATTGAAGTCTAGCCATTTTTAATCAATAGATTTGGATGCCCAAACTAAGAGAGGTTACTGCAATTTATAAAATACAATCATCAGGAGAGCTATTAAAAGTTCAAATGATATAATTTTTGTTCCTTATATTTGGCAAAATTCTATCTATAGAAAGTTTCATGTCTATATTAATTTTAAATGATGCAATTTTTAAAGGCAAAATTCAAAATATGCATAAAATCATTTGAATAGTTCCCAAGAAATTAAAAAAAGTTATATTTTTTATCTTTATTTTTCAGGAAATATTTAACTGATTTTGTTCCAGTTTTGGAATTGATTTTGTTCCAGTATTCCATTAAATATTTCCCTATAAGAAGGACTAGAAGTATACTTTAGAATTCCAGTTTTGCCAATAATTTTTAATCTTCATAATAAATAATTATTAAAAAAAAAAAAATTCTTTTTGCGTGAACTTATCATTGAAGAAACAAGTTTCATAAGTGGATGGAAGAATTTTTTGAGTTCGATCATTAGTTTCAGAATGAAGGCTAAAAACGCAAAAAGAAAAATTAGCAGAAGTAAGGGGGCGTCATGATTAAACTATTAGGACTAGATGCTTTTTAATTGTTCCAGCAGCCCACTCCCCCCCCCATAATTTGAGGGTACTAAAATCCCGAATACAGCAAAAACAAAAAATAAATAATAAGTTATGATTGTTCATAAGAAAAATGTGTTGGGTTCTGATTTCGTAAATTACTTGCACAGTGTTGCATTATTTATTAGTGTATCTTTTAAACAATTAAAACAGGGCAATCAGATCAAAAGTTTGCCAATACTGCATTGCATATCATTTAGTGGACAATCTACGCCTTTCCTGTTGCTTGGATGCTTTCTTCTTCATTATCTGCAATCTTTTGTCAGCACTCATGAGTGGACTGCAGCTGGCAACCTTATGAGCACTATTTCCATTGCCAGGCGCAGCAGCCGCCACGGGCGGCGCAGATCGAACGGACGCCACGACTGCACTCAAAAGTCCGAGGCCTTTCGTAGCGGTAGTCGTCGTGGACGGCTTCTGACTAGATGTAGAGGAGGAAGTGGTGGATGCCAAACTCTGAAAAGAAGACTTTGTCGTGATTGCTGTTGACACAGAGGAAGTCTTTGACGTGGAGGAGAACGGAGTTTTCAAACTCGTATTCGAAGTCGAGATTTTCACGCTACGAGGTGCAGCAGATGCAGTAGAAACAGACGCAGTTGTTCTGCCACCAAAATTAGCGGCTAAACCAGCTAAACCTATGGGCTTATTGGCAGCAGTCACTTGGTTATTCGCTTGGCTATTTGCTTGCGTCTGTAAAGAAAAGAAAATCAGCTTGTCTACAAAAGTTAATTCAAAAGTCTTTTCTTCCTTTTTAGACCAAGGATAGAAATTTTATAAAATACGATATTATTTTCAGTCAAATTATATTCATTAAGACAAAAAAATAACTTTCATGCATAAAAAAATAATTTATTTAAAAAATAAAATTGTGGGTATACACACCATCAGCCAGATCAATGAACAATTCGTTTAGTTCAACAGTTAAATTTTTAATGGAAAGATTCTAAACATTTTGGATGCAAATGGACTTTGCATTTGATGCATAAAAAAATCGTGAGGTTTTTGCACACAGTACATCATCTGCGTTTTTTTTTCAAGCTCACTAACACGTATTGTATTTCGATTCTGTCAGTCCTTTTGGCAGCGCTGAGGAATGATGGGCGACCTTAGTTAGGATGGGTAATGTACTTTAATCAAATGGATTGTTCTTTGATTCAGGCAATAACTATGTATGACCTTAAGTCTATAAGCGATATTTCTGAGCTAGATGAAATTCTATGCAGATTCCAAGAATTTACTATAACCCTATCAATGAAGTTTGTAAATAATGGCCACCTTTTCTTACCTTGAATCTTAATGCAATAATTAGCTAAGGCATTGCCATGGAAGTCAACACCTCCCATATGCTAATCGTAATCCGAAATGAGTTGTGAAATGACAACTTTTCTTTCTTTGCGACTGTATTGTTTGGCATTTACAAGAGGCAAAATGGTACCGTTATTAGTAACAATTGTTATCACAGCATTGTCATTCCACTTTATTGCCCATGCCTCCTTGTTAGATGCAAAATCGTAGGAATCATAATGTTTTTTCTTCTTTGGAGTCATTCAATATACAACCACCTGTGTGATTTTCGCGAGCTGTGTGAGATGCAAAGAAACCGTTTTTTTTTTCAAAATTTCAAATAAACTATAGGAAGAGAAAAAGTTTTCAAAATAAATTTTGTGCAACTCAGATCTTGAAACAACTCTAAGTATCTTCAGAACAAAACTTGTTCCGAATGGCATATTCTGTTGATCACTGTTAGCCTCAGCAAAATAAATCTCTGATAACAATAAAACTTCATAATAAAACTAATAAATTTCTGAATATACAATAGAACTTCAATAAAACTATGAAACCTTGCATAAAAAGTGAGTTTTCAAATTCCACCTATTTCTCATGCATTTGGCCACTGGTAGGTTAACGCACCATTAAATTTGAATTAAAAAAATTTTTTTTTATGCTAATTGATTTTTTTAAGTTTATTTTCAGAACTTACAACTTGAACCCATTATAAAAACATATAACAAATCTAAAGTGGAATAATTATACTGTTTCAAAAACTGTTGTAAAAAATTGACTTTTTCAATAACCGTTTGCAGTTAAAAAAAACTAGCACGATTTGAAAATTTCTCTACAGAAAGTATTTACTTGAATTACTAATATTTTATAGATGTCTTCAGAACCCTTAAAAACAGCAGAAAAATAAAGTTATTGAAAAATATTCCCCACTGTGTTAATAAAAAATTATTTATTATTATTGCGGTTACTGCCACGAATTTCACGATTTTTATATTTTATTTAAATTACATGCAAAATGAGAACAAACAAAAAAAAAACACTGCTTTTATTTTCCCTTTGAAATGAAAACATCGCCAATAATATTAGAATTATATATTATTTTACAATTATGACACTCACAATTAAAAAAATACTATATACAGTTTTATTCTATACATGGAGTTTTTTTTTATAAGCACATGCTTCTGCTATTAAAAATTAGTAACATATATTTACAACTATTAAAAATATCTCACAGAAAGTTACGTGCGTGAGGGAGGTTAGTAGCAGAAAAAATTCTACCACAGGGCTCTAGTCGAAATCATGCATATAAATAGTGGACAATTCCCAAGTTTGGAACTATCTAATTTTCTGATTTTTTAACAGCATTGTTAATTAAAATTAAAAGATAATTTTATTCATCAAATTGATTATTATAAGACTGCAATTCTATTTGTATTTGTTGAAAATAACATGTTCATTTGACAAATAAATATTAGGAATATCAGGACAAAAAGCTAACATCAGAACAAAATATTTTTACTCAAGAAAGCCAAGACAGTTACAAGCCTTTCTCCATTTCCTTTTTTAAAAAATATTTCACTGTCAGTGAAACAAAAAAAAACTCACTTTTAATTCAGTTCTCTTGAATGGCAATATTAAAGAAGGGGGTGAACTCTCAGACTTGCTGCACTTTGTTTGTGATACAGGCTCTTTAGAAGGTACTGAAATGCCTGATTTTGCAGTTTTTTGAGTTTTGGTGGCCTATGAACAAAATATCATAATGAGTCATAGAAGAAGAATAGAGTGCTCTTTTAAGATAAATTAAAAAAGAAATGTTTGTACCATTTTCTTCATGTTTTTAACACACTTAGCGCAGTACCACACTCTCCGTGGATCATTGTAGTCGTAATCCGTGGCAGGGGGCCTGTGACATTCCTTTAAGAATAAAGAACATGTTTAACAAAAGTGAGAGTAAACTAGTTAAAGTTAGTGTAGGCACAGACTAGCAGCCTTTACAACTTGATTTTTACTTCGCTACTATCATTTGTTGCTTAGATACTGTTTATAGAACCAAAACTATAGTATGTCCCTTTCTGTTGTTATTATTATTTTTGCTGTTTTTTAATCTACATAGCACAATGTATCCCAAGCAAATATTTTAAACTTTGTATTTTGATGTAAGCAAGCATCTTCGCCCAATGCTTTATAAACGAAGTGTGAAGTTGTTTTAAGGGGCTTGCCTTGTCTGACACTATGTGCTGAATGACAGAGATGGAGTATTCGCCTTCCCATGAGGTGATGGCCGGTCGATACTGCACCCAGCCTGCACTGACGTAAAATATCCTCGATAGTAGACGGATTATAGGATAAAGTCTCCTTGCTGTGAGGCTAACCATGGGAAGTTTTCGTGGTTCTCCTATTCATGCAATGCAGTGTTTCCCTAACCTATGACTTTTGTGTACCCTTATTAAATTTTTTGCAAAGCTGTGTACCGCTAATAAAAAAATTAATGTACTTTTTACTATAAAAAAATTGCACAAAAGTTAAAAATCACAACTGGCTTTTGACACCACTCATTACTAACTGTTAACTCTGCAAAAAATAGCCAATAGAAAAATACGTAATCGTACATTTTCATGGCTAGCTTTGGTTTAACATAATAAATTTTGAAATTTTTGTTTGTTGCAAGTTATTTAGCATAAGAACGCGTACCCTCCCTAAACTGTTCCTGTAACCCTGGAGGTACGCGTACCACACTTTGGGAAACACTGATGCAATGCAAATGAGGGTTAGTTCCATCAAGAAGTCCCCCGTGAAAGTTAATTTCTCTGAATATTTGATCCAAGAGTTCCCTTGTCTTCTGGAATGGGTTCAAAATGACAAGGCAATCAAAATTGAACATAAGTAGTTGTTAACCCGAAAATTGTGTTAACAAAATAGTTATTATGTGTGTTGAGATGTAGAAACTGTTCTGAAATAGAACAAGCATGTGTTACTAATTGTTTTTATAACAGTTTTTCAGGAGAGCTGTTTCCATGTTTCTAAGCTTTAATGAAGCTTTTTTATGTTTACAATTACAAACATAAAGTCATTCTGCCATGTGTATCAGTCTAAATGATATCAAAGTCATTCATATCATTTAGACAAATTGTAAAAGAGCAAAGGTTCCTGAATATCGTAAAATCATTTTTACAAGTCGTTTGATTAACACAGTTCAGTATTTTCCATGAAAATTAAAAAAAGATATTTCATTACTAACAACTAAAAATACAAAAAAATTATTATTTTTTTTTAAATTTATTTATTTATTTATTTATTTTTTAATAACGGCAGGAACTTGAACTCTCGTTCTTCACCTCAGAAGATGCCGGAAGTGTTGATCATTTAGCGTTACCCAGTGGGCACCTGTGAACCAAAGTCACGGAGGCGAGCAACATTATCCACGCCACACTGCCACAAACCCGTTCATAGGGTGGGTCACATCCACACATCACACACAATAGTGGACAACACATAGAGAGAAACATCCATGCCCAGAGTGGAATTCGAACTCGCAGCCATTGGCTTCGCAGTCAGGCACGCTAACCGCTCGGCCACCTAGCTGGCACAAAAAAATTATTAAGTAATTTAAGTATTAATGAACTATGAGAGAAATAATTATCACTGACTTAATTTCTTTTAATTTTAAACCTTTTACTTATTTAGGTAAAAAGATGTCATTCATAAAACTTTGTTTTATAAATTGCTAAAAAAAAAATTTTGAAATTATAAATAGTACTATATAAAATGAATTTTTCTTTTAAAATATCTAGCAGACTAAGAAAGAAGAATTCTAAATTTTAGATTTGTATTTGATTTAGAAATATTAGTTAAATTTTCATTTCAACTTAAAATTGTGTTAATAAAAAATAACCTTTTTAATAAAGTATTTTAATAAAGTATTTTAAAATTTGTACACTTGCTAATACCAATTTTTGACATTGCAAAAGATTCAAACATGTTCAACAAAGAAGATTCTAACACGCAAAAGATTCAAACATGTTCAACAAAAAAGATTCTAACACGCAAAAGATTCAACCATGTTCAACAAAAGAGATTCTAACATGCAAAAGATTTTACGCAATTCAAAATTTTTACATAAATTTTTAGGAATTAAGAATTGAAATATTAAAGTCATCATATAAAACCATTCATCATTGAATCATATTAAAACATTTTTCCCATTCTGCAATTTTATTTTAGTAAAAAAAAAAACTACTCATCTTGATTATTTCAAACTGAAATCTTGATCAAATATTATGAAATTAAAAAAAATTTGCTCTCAAACAACAACAGTAACAATTTTTCATTTAAAAAATAATTTTTAACAAAATCACGACATATAAACTGCAAAATATAGCAACCGCAAAAACAACTGGTTTTAAAGGAGTCTGTTCAGATATTTGCATGCAAATTAAAGATTATGCTCATTAAAAATATTACCGATAATAAATATTAATTCTAGAATACTTGCGGCAATATTCTCATTAATTAAACTGAAACCTGACTTTCATAACATTGATCATTGTTATTTGTCTTGTTCATGTTTCCCAAATCAACATTTAGCACTCAAACAATCAATTAATGAGTTATTAAACAGTTGTTTTTGTTACACAGACTAGTGCGTGTCTAACTGATGGCATTGAAGACCTTGTGTCCATAATTAAATATCAGAGACAAAAAATTTTTAAAAAATCTCCGCAGAAGATGAACTTTTGGTTGTGAAATATCAAAAAATAAATTAAAATAACACGACAATCTTCACAAATGTTAAATATTGATTACAATAATTCAATTTTATATAAAATAAGTACCTCAATAAAAAAATAAATTTTTTTATCTTAAGCTACCTTCAGAGGAAAAAATATTTATAATATAATAAGATAATAATAGCTTTTGAAGTGATCAATCAGCACCAAATAAAAAATAAATAAATAATAATATTGAAATGAAATGAACCAATTAATAAACTAGTTAATGAAAATTAGACCCCAAAAAGCGTGCAAATTTTGATGATAAAAAATGTGTAAAAAAAGGAGTTTTGGAATTTTAAATGATTCTCAAGAATCTTTTTATTCCGAACATTAGAAAGTTCTCATTTCGCGCTCAAATGTCTTTTGTAATTTTGAAAATTATTACTCAGAAAATTAATCCCATATTTTCAATGTGTTTTCTTTAAATCTGTCAGAATTTTTACACTATTTTCTTAGAATTTTATTGCTGTTTATGTAAAAACTACATTCTGTAAAATAATGGAATATTTTCTTTTTTAAAAGAAATATTTAATATTTTATTATATTTCATATTATGACACATAATTTTTTATATTTTATTTAATTACACACATCAGCATGAACTTTCAGCAATTTTTTTTTTTGTGAAAATGTTTTATCATATATTTAAAGTAAAATTAGAATATATATATACATAAAGAGAGATTAACGAAGAAAATAAAGAAAAATAATAAAAGATTTATTTACTTCACATAGGCAGCAAGCACATAGAACTCATAAAATAAGTTAAAAATATATTTAAAGAGAAAAAGAATAAATAAAAAGACTTTTTAAAAAGATTTTAAAAAATACCAAAGCAAAATAAATCAATACAACAGTTAGTAAAAATATATCAATACAATACTATTGTTTAAATACATTTAGTTTCGGATATATTAAGACAGTATTAGAAAGCACTCTTTTTGGCGAATATAGTCGTGTGAACTAACAAGGAGATTATAAATTTTCTTTACTGTTTGATTTTGACTTCTAAATTTATTATTTTTTTTTTAATGTTTAAAAATAATCTCTTTAAAAATAATTTTTATTCTTCTCCTTAAAAAAAAATTTTTCCTTGCTTTATTTGTTTTTTTTTTTTTTTTTGCATCTTCATCTGCCTGACTTAACCCAAAACCGATATAAAAGTTGAGCATTTACATTGCTTATTTTTATAGTTGAGTAACAATTCACAATACATTTAAAATGAAAATATTACAACCTGATGATAAAGACTGTGACATTCCTGGCATTCTATTAACTGATTCCCTTGAGTTACCTCAATTTGACTGTAAATAAAAATGAATATTTGAAACAATGACAATCGAAAGAATATATATATATATATATATATATGAATATTTAGAAACAGTTTAAACATTTAGAATGAATTAATTAAAACCAGTTGAATAAATAAAGTCATTAAATCCTAATAAACGCACGTATAAGCTGCTAACAAAATTTCAAAATTGCCCCTCTCATTGTAGTTTTGAACCAAAAAATAATTCCAAAGAAACTTTTGCTATTAATTTGAAAATCTCTAACTGTAATCATTATTGAACTCAGTTGTAAAGCATTAATGTATCCAGCAGAGCAGACATTTATTCATTTATTTTTGAAAAAGTTTTAGAAAAAGAAAGAACATCAAAAAGAATACAAAACAATATTTAAGTTTTGCAGATCTTACAAGTTTAAAAAAGAATGTGATGCTGCATTCATTTGGGGTAATGGTTCCCAAATGGTGAACCCTAGGGTTCAGTGGAAGTGTCGCGGGGGTTCCGAGAGTTAGGGATTTTTATTTAACCAGTTATGGTTTTTAAAATTTGCAACTAAATCTGTATCGAATTAGTATCCCATTATTTATTTAATTCCATAATTTATAATTCCAATAATCCATTATTTATTCATTATTTTTGCGAAATTACATTCAATTAAAATTCTTATGATGATTGAAAATTTAAAGCAATGTTTTCTTCTAATAACAATAAAATAAATTAATTATAAATAGGATACGTATTTCTGAAAAATTGCACTATTTGGCATGGAATAAAAATAACCGGACTCAACAATGGAAGAAGTATGTTTCTCCGATTAACATTTTCTACATTTATTTGCGTCCTTTTTCGTTTTTAATTTCATGGAAATCATAGTTCAGCTAATTTATTTTCAGTTTATACATGCACTAAAATCAAATTAAGAATTAGATTAGATGCCGCTCCAGACCTGAGAATACAACTGATTCTATGATATGATAAAAGAAATTTTCATTCTCCATTAAGTTTATTATATATATTAACGAAAAAACATTTAGATCATTACACATTCTCCAAATAATTAATATTCTAAGTGAGTACATTAGTATCAGGTGAGTACACAACTTATTATTGAGACAGCTATTGACAAAAGAGAAAATAACGAGAAAGTAAAGACCGAAATCAAATTAGAAACTCATTATTCAAGTGAGAAAAGGGCAAAATTTCTGAAAATACCTCGCTATTCAAATTATGAAAATTAAATATTAAAAAAAAAGGGTGTGAAACTATTTTGAAAAGAAAACAAGTCATTTATTAACATATTTATTTGAAGTTTTATTCTTATTTTTAATATGTGTGTACATTGACAGTCCAACGAACTGTTAAACTTTAGGTAAAAATAAAGATAAAAAAGAATAAAGTAACAAACGAAAAAATGTATAAAGAAGACATTTGACAATCCAAAATTTTCCTTTTCTAAAGTTAGAAACTCCCTTGAAAAGTTAGAAGAATCTCATGCCTGATAATTATCATATTTCTTTACATAATCTATAACAGGGTGCGTAGCCACATCTTTCAACAAAAAATAAGCACCTTTTAAGTACTTTTTAAGCACTCAAAAAATATTTTTAAGCACATTAACAAAATGCAAAATAATTTTCAAAGACTTCAGATGATCATGAGAAAATAACTAGTTTCTGACAAAGAATTCTTTTCTTGATTATATTAGCCATTAAAGAATGATCGAATTAAAGAATGTCCGACAAACCATTAAAGAATGTCCGACAAACATAATCTTTTCGGCTCAGCCCATCGGATCAAGGCCCAGAGGTCGACCAAAGCTGAGATGGGCCGACTGCGTGGAAAGAGACTTTTCAGTCTTAAAAGTCTCAAACTGGAAGACAACTGCCAGGCAGAGACAGGCCTGGAGGAAGTTGATTGAGAAGGCCAGGGCCCACCCGGGACTGTCGTGCCATTGAGGAAGGAAGGAAGGAAGGAAAGAATGATCGAGAGATTTTTCGGTTCAATATCAGAGGGTGGAAAATGAAGTCAGCAGAGTTGCACACGAGAAGGCAATAATCTCACCGAACTCAGCTCAGTAGACGCACATTCGGACTCCCAAGTATTTAATCAAGCATGTTAAAAGATTACGCTATGGACCGACGATATGCCGAAATGAATTGCGAAAATGTTGAATAGAACTGCGTGAAAAGCACGCTTTTGCATAATACTTGGCGAAAATCGACATGGTAACAAAAAAACCTCATTTTTGAAAAGGAAAAACTAAGCATTTTTAAAAACACCTAATGAAAAAAGCACCTTTAAGTACTTTTTTTACAATGCTACGCACCATACATAAAAGTCTGCTTCTTAGTAACAAAAAAATCTCATTTTTGAAAAGGGAAAACTAAGCATTTTTAAAAACACCTAATGAAAAAAGCACCTTTAAGGGCTTTTAAATAATGAAAATAAGCACCTTTAAGTACTTTTTTACAATGCTACGCACCATACATAAAAGTTTGCTTTTTAGTAAAATTTCTTCTTTACCATTAAAATTTTTCAACCAATAATTGCCTTGTTAATAGGAATGAAACATACTTGCAAATAACACAAGCCAAACCCATCTCCATTGCAAAATCATCCGCATCAGCATTATCATCGCTGCTCTCTGTCTCTTCTTCCTTTTTAGTGACATACTGGTCAAGCTTTGGTAAGTCAGGAGGACTCGAAGGATAATAGGAATAAACCTGAGGAGGTTCTAACTTTGGAATTTTTGCTTCACTCTCCATGCTATCTTGTTTCAACTGCAAAGATTCATTTTATAATATTACAACAGGAATTTTTATACAAATAATGATTACACATTTTTCAGGTGTTTTCCCTGTACATATTATACACAATATATATAGCATTAAATGGACAATCACTGAGCTCTCTATATAAGTCTAGATATACTATTTTTTGGTCACCACTTTTAAAACTCGAAAAAAAGAAATAAAATTCATTGTATTTTCCCAGTTTGTAAGGAAAAACTCAAAATTCCCTCTATTTTGCAGATTTTCCCAGTGGAGCGGCAACCCTGGTTTTATAGTGCAAAAATATACATTTATTCAATTAATTTAATGTTGCCAGGCATAAAACAGAGTTTTGATACTTACATAAAAATGCCTTATCTTACGTGTATTTATTGTTATTGTTATTTTATCCGTTGTCGAACATCCGACCCAATTATGGGTTTACGACTACTTGTGTTCTACTCCGCAGCTTTGTCATTTTGAACCTAATCCAGAAGACAAGGAAATTCCTGGATCAGTACCCCCAGAGATATTAATTTGTAATGGGAACATGGAGGACTTAGCGACGAGACAGATTAAACGTGCAACAGTCACCATTTAATACACTGGGAGTCTTCGGCCGGCGGGGATCGAACCCACGAACTGTTGGACACGTGTCCAGTGCCCTACCAACCAGGCTATCCCGGCCTGTATTTATTGTTAGCAGTTTTTGGCTATCTGGATAAATCATCATTTGTAAACAAACATTTCAAAATTCAATTTTAGAAAATTGCTTATCCCCATTTAAGGATGAAAATATTTGCTTAAATCTTGGTGTTGCGCTACTATTAAATTTGGATAGAGTGTAACTGAGTAGTCTGCAAATATAATCTGATAGATCTTTTTGCTTTATTCATTTTAGTGAGCAACAGGTGAGTTCTATTGCAATGTTTTTCAATGATACCATGGTTTTCAAGTCTTTCATTTTCTGCTCAATCTTTTAATGCAAAAAGGTACCAGCCTAGCATGACTGGTATCACATTAGGCTTCAATTTTGGTTCTACATTATTTCACCTAATTTACTATCAAAAATTTCCTTACAATATCTCTTCTACCAAGGCTTCAAATTTAAATTATTTAAAATTTTAAACATTAAAATGGAATTTCAATCAGGATTTCGATTCAAAAGGATTTTATAATCAATTCCACAATGACATCCTGAAATGGTATCTAAAACTTCCTTAACTAAGTACAAATAAAAAGTTTCATTTTTGGTTTCAATATGCTACTTTTACTGCTACTATATCTTAGCAAAATGATTGCATCACCAAGTCCAAAAAACTAGATGTGTGTTAGATGATTTGTTAGATGAATTTCTTTTTTGAAATTTCTTGAAACTAACTTTCTTGAACTAAAAATCTTCTGCTTGCATAAACTTCCATTTGAACTGGTTTGCTTTCGATTTCACCCGTTATTGTATCCAGGTTGCTCTTCATTTAGGAAAACATTATCTGATTTTAATTCGTACTTACTTATTTCATTAACATTATTTTCACAGAAATTATCTTCAATATCATTTTTGACTTACTGGTCTAGACTGATTTTACTTAGCATAACATGCCTTTTCAATGTGTTTGATTTTCTTACAATTAAATTTATTATGATTCAAACAGAAATGCTGTTTATCTGTTTTGATTTGAACAAAGTACATCAGGGCTTTCAATATCAGATTGGAACACTTAATTGATGGTTCACTTGATGATATTTTATGAGTTTTAGAAAGCTTCGCTTTGTCGCGCCTTCGGAGATCTGACGTCAGTGGTTTTCCTTCATGATTTCAACTGCACTTTTCTGTGCCTTCTCTTTAGCGGAAGCTATTTTCAGGGTTATTTCTAAATCAATGTCATCTTCCTCAAATAATCAATCAAGTATTGATCAATCCCTCAAACCTGACACAAAAACACTGCTGAGTGTTAAACATATTCTCTGAATATTCACAGAGAATAGTTAAAAGTGCGTAAAGTAAAAATTATTTATCGTTTACCCCTCATATTGTTTATGATTAAGAAACAAATAATCGCTCGGAATTATTAAGTCTTTAGGTTTAAAATGATTTTTTAACATCGTTTTGAGCTCTTTAAAGCTTTTATCTGTTGAGTTTTAACAAATTATTTAGTTTAGCTTTTAAACTGGCTATCAGCACTTCCACATGTTTAGTTGCATTGACATTTTGAACATCAAGCTTGACTTGATCTAGAAAAGAATCCTTCAGCAGTTTCATCAAATTTCTCAAGCTATACAGAGAATTTTTTGTTCCTATTTTTTCATTTAAAAGCTTTTGTAAAGGGCTTAATTGATTCTTTAACTAAATTTTTAATTTAAATTCTGTTTCTAAATTTGCCATCTTCGGGGAAACTCCTTAACTCATCAGGATTCAGGAGATGACCACTTTGATTTGTAGTTGGAAATGCCAGATTCGTTGCCAACTGCCAGGTTCTTTTATATGGAATGCAGTTTTGTCATTCAGCTTGTGTTAAATACACCAATGTGTGACTGAATTGATATCAGGCATTCATATCACAGCCAACGTAATCTGTCAATATAAAAGGATATTATTTATACACTACAATAATGTACAAAGTTCCATTTAGAAAAAAGATTTTATAATCACCTATTACAGCAACAGGGCCTATTTTACTGCCTTTTAGCGATACCTTAACAAATTCAACGGTTGCTTCACAAAATACATTTTCTTAAAATTTTATTTTCCTGTCTCATAAGAAACCATAAATCCATATTTTTGTGTTGATTTTTAATTTTAATTTTCACAAACTATGTCTAAATTTTCACAAAATAGGTGCCTCTCAGAAAAACCTAGACAGACCCCTAAGCAAATATTGAAAATAAAAATTTCGCAAATTCAAGTCAGGCAGTTTTACTTAAGCTAAAAATCTGCCTAAATCATGGCATTAAAGATTTCAAATCAATATTTAGGTAGATAACAATTCATAGTTATATTATCGGTTATATAAACTAAATAGTTGTATAATGACATTCTATATTCAAGGGCAAGACTGGAAACTGTACTTGGCGGGCACATTGTTCTACTCATTGGCCACTATAATAATTTTGCTTCCAAATTATATAAAAAACAAAACATTTTAGTGAAAAAAGTATATTATTACTATTATAAGTAACTAACAGCATTAACGCGTATTTTCATTTAAAAAACAATTATAAGGGCACAATATTAATTCGTTTTCAAAAGGAATATTTCTGTTTTGAAAATTTAAACTTTCAATACTCATTTTACTATATCTAATGCACTACTATAAAAATTAAAATGCAATTCCATAAAAATTGTCTGACAAATACCACCACATCAATACATATTTATTACAATATATATTAATTATTGATCTGAGTACATTTCAAGTTCTGTACACTAAAACACTAATTTTATAAAAAATAAATTACATAGAGGATTATGGCACGGATAAGAAACTGAACTTTAAGTTCATTTTTTAATATAAATATGAATTCAATTTTAACAGGAAAACCTTTTGTCAGATTAAAAGTTATTCACTCATTTAATTTTTAATATAATACCTAATGAAAAACAAATAAATTCCTGAAAAATGAAAAGAATTATTTTCAATTCTTAAAATTAGGACATTTAGGTCAAGTTGTATCAGACCACCGTTTCATTTGAGTCCTTCAGATGCCACACTAAGGATTATTAGCCAGTATAAATCAACCAAATATCAAAAGCCAACAATTTTTCAGGACTAATTATTAGCAGCTAATTAAATGTAAAGTGAAATTTTTTATAAAGTGCAAACACTTGTAAAAAAACTGATAATGCCCATTCGATATTTGCAAATCGTATTTTAAGCACCTCAACTGATGTGAAAATGGGGGGGGGTATAACTAATAACTGAAGGGAAAAAAAAGGTTGGAAAACCACTCGAATTTACGCCGGAACATTCAGAAATCTAGCTTTTCAATATTACTCAAATTCAAAATTTGAGAAAGCCTATGAAATATATTGAAATTTGAAAAATCATGAAGATTGCAGCAAAAAAATAAAACCTATAAATATCTATAATAACTATTATAAAGTGATTGGAAAATGACTAGAATTTGCAACATAGAATTTACAAATTGTTGCAAATAAAAATACAAATTATGTTTCGCAATAAAATTGCATTAAAAAAATTTTATTTTATCTCTGGCGTTGAACAGTCAAGCCAGTTTTGGGTCCAAAACAGGGACTGTGTCCAACTTTCTAGCCTTGTCATTTTGAACCAATCCAGAAGACAAGGAAACTCCTGGATCACTACCTCCAGAGGTATTGATTTGTTATAAGAACATGGAGGACTTTACGACTCGATAGATTTAATGTGCATCAGTCACCATTTACTACAGGGAGTCTTTCGCTAGGGGAGATCGAACCCACGACCTCTCGGACATGGGCCCAGTTCCCTACCAACTAGGCTATCCTGGCCCCTATTAAGACTATTGTATTATATCAAGTGAAAAGGACAAAAAAAAGCAATAAATAACTTATTGGTCAATTTATTAAAATGTATTAAAACAGGCTATTTGGCCACCTAATTCCAATGAAGCATTAAAACACATTTTCGGTTTCGAAGACACGATGCATCAATAAATTCTTTAGCGCAACAGAAATGTTTCTAAAAGCAAAACCCTGCACTCCAGCTAAAAGGGTTTGCAATGGAATAAGTATGTCAGCTTTTGCTGCCAAAGAGTGCAATAACTAGTGTTGAAAGTTGATATATTTTAAAATGAAAATTAATAAAATGAGAAATAAGTTGGAAAAGGGAAGAGAAGGCACAACTTGGTTTAGACAACACACAATTGTCTAAAATTTAGAGAACGTCTGAATGGAATTGTCATCGACGAATAAAGAAAAAAACCTTTTTAGCAAAGCAGGTTATGTCACACTAGTGCCTCGAGAGAAAGTCAAAAATGCGCTAAAAAACATTCAGGCTACCTGTAGTAAAATGAGATTATGTGCGAATTAAACTAAAAAAAAGTTAAAGTATGCATTTTCAAAAATAAATGTTTCCATTAACGCAAGGAATTTGAGAGAAAACACAACTTAAGACCACTCTATCGTAATAGACTGATAATATTATTTACGGAAAAAAGTTTTAGATGAACTATTTGTACAAATGAAAAACTTTAAATTTATATCAGGCTATCGTAATAGATAGAGAACATTACGAGTAAATGGGGGAGAAAAAGTTAGTGTAAAACTTTTAAAAAAATGCATTAAGAGAAACTTAACACATAAGTAAACCAGTCTAGCAAGACTGATAAAATTCTAAGCAAACCGCAAAAGTTAAAATTTATGAACACCCATGTAAAAATCAAATTTACTATCAAAAGCCAAAAAATTATCAAAGTTAAACGCTAGACTAATTTAGAAAATTAAAAAATCAATTAAATTTACAGCTGTAAATAAAAACTTCAGGGTAAAAACATTTAAAAAAAGAAAATATTTTATAAAAAATTACATTTAATCACACATTTAACCTTGCACAAAAAAAATCGCAAGCTCTTTAGAATTTTTGAAAAATTTAGAATTGTAAGGTGCATAATTTTTACATCGTTTCAAAGACTTAATTTTAAATGGTAAAAAAAAAATAGAGCAAATTCGGTTAAATAATTCCAGAGAAATAAAAAAAAAGTTATATTTTTTTAAATTTGGACCTCCACTGCCTTAACTTTTTGTGTTTATTTTTTGTAACTTATAACTCATAACTATAACAGTAAAAGTAAATTTAAATCGTAGAGGAAAGAATGTTTCACATTGATATGCGATAAACAATAATTAATTAGCTGAGTGAAAGGTTATTCATTGAGGGCATATGCTAACATGTGAAGAGCTTCAGCAGAAATCTTGATGGAAAGTCAGCTTTCAGTTCTGCAGAGGAAAGAAGACGCAGGCAGACAAACAGCAGCCATTTTTTAAAATGTAAGTTAGTTAATATTCGTTTCTTGGGCACAAATTTAAATTTGTAAATGAAAAATTTTTTAAAAATTTATGCTATATTGTTTGAATTTTATATTTCGAGCAGATGGACTCTCTCTTTTTCGCAAATGGAGAAATTAGCATTTTGCCAAACATAGATGTTCCCTGTAAAAGATCATAGAGAGAAATTTCAAAAGTTTCTTGTTATTTATTAGCATATATATTAGCATCCAGTCCCACGATTAAAATAGTCTTTTTTTGTCTATAAAATTATACTATGTAACAATAATTTATAACGAAACGAACATAAACTTTTTAAACGAAATGGGCATAACCATTTTGAAGTTTGAACAAAACAGAGCCAAATATCTTTAGATAGAATAAGTTTTTGAAAACAATGCACTTATATAACTTTATTTGCAAATTTGAACTATTAAGTTGCACAGAAGAGAAAATTTAATTTAACATTTAGATGATTCAAAAGACAATTGATGCAAACGATTTGCATAAAAATTTGTATAAAAATATTCTTTACGCATTTTGTTAAATGTACGTGAAATTTCAAAGTTTATTATCGAATAATTTTTGCGTAAAACGTTTCTAAAAGAGCAGTAACTGCAACAATAATTTTTCTTAATAACAGAAGTAATTTTTAAGCTTACAATGTGTGGTACCATACAGTTAGATTGGTATACGGTGTAGATTGGTGTATGGTACCATACAGTGTGGTACCATACAATTTAGATTTACATTATAATGAATCTGCAAACAATGGTATCAAAATCAGTGATATAAGTTTCTTAGAAACACACTTGAGAAAAATGATGCAGAAGTATAAAATATGTCTTAATTTAAATATTTTGAATTAATTTGTTCGAGCCCCCCTGTCTAGAGAGGCGTGGCCGTCGACTACCTGCAGTACATAAAGGCACACGAAATATGATCATAATGGGATCTTTAATGGTAACAATAAAAATCAAATACAAAAATATCGTGCTCTTTATCGATAACGAAAAGTAGCAAATACAAAAATATCACGATCAATATCTTAACATACCAATAAAACAATATATTGATTATACATAAAGATAATTATTGGATACGATATATTATTGTGAATAAATATAAATTTTATTTGAGTAAAAAAAATATTGTTAAATTAAATAACATAAATTTAGAAAAATACTGAAATATATAATTAAATGGAATTATTTTTCACAAAGTAATTAAATTCAGCACTCATAAAGAATAATCTCTGTAACAACTGTTGAAAGCATCCAATAACACAGTTGCTATAACTAATAAAAATTAAACATTATTACTTAAATAGAATACCTTTTCCAGATTTCTCTTTTCAGACTTCCTGTTATCTTCTGAGGAGTATTTTGCAGTTTCAACAGACGAAGCTTTTTTTATATGAAGTTTATTCTCACCGTCCTGTGACAAAAAAATGCATTTCTTTTTAATATTAAATAACAAGATTTCTTTCTCCTAACTAAGAACTTTTCAAGAATTTTCCCCCAATTATAAATGCAGTACAACTTGGTTATTTTAAGGCCTTACTTTAATGCCAACTGGTTTCAATGAAAGAATAAGGTTAAAAATATAAAACTCTGATGTTACAAGCACTCCTTACATTTATCAAAAACTTCTTGAAAATTATTTTATTGAAGATCCTTTTAGCACACCACGTGGCTGAATCGCAGAGACACGGCAACAGAATTCTCACAGAAAGACTTTTCTTTCGAAAAGCAAAAAATTTAACTTTTCTTTTCAACAGAAATGTACACTTAATATTTGAATCCTGCATTTAGATAATAACTTTTTGACGCATTCGATTCCCCCCGATAGTATTGTAAATCGAGGTAACGTTTCGATCGTATTTTTTACCGTCGTTGATATCGATTTTTGTGTGGTTTTTAAATATCCTGATATATTTTAAACAATACGAAAAATCAGAATCCTGCATTTAAGTATTTATTTTTTAAGGCAATAATTCTATCTAATTTTTGACAGTTATTTGTATTGATTTCCCCATAGTTTTTAAATCTGATATTTTTCTATACGATATTATTTATTACGACCTGATCTCGAAACACACGTTTGAGGAGTCCGACGCGTGTGGTTTTCATTTTTAATTGTTTTTTTATTGTGATGATTCACAAAATGCGAAAAAGGAAATAATGTGTGCATTCCCTGCAAAATATATCACCCATAATATTAAAAAGAAATTATTACATGTTCAATTAAAAAATATATATATTATAGTTTTTTTTGTAAACACAGAGCTATTGTTATTTTAAATTAGTAACTTAGATGCTTGTTATTATTAAAAGTATCTTGCAGAAAGATATTAGTGCCAGAGAGTTTTGTCGCAGAAAGCCCGACAAAATTCTGCCATAGGGTTGAAGATATTTAAATATATATAAATATATATGAAACATATGTGTGTGTGTTCATATATATA